GAAAGCAAGGCATACCTGAAACAAGGTTGCAACTCTTAACAGATGTGAGCGGAGTTTTCTCACCAGGTGTCCTTACAGCATTAGTGGGGTCTAGTGGGGCTGGAAAGACCACACTGATGGATGTACTTGCTGGCAGGAAAACTGGAGGGTATATCGAAGGGAACATCAAAATATCAGGTTACCCAAAAGAGCAACGGACATTTGCCAGAATATCCGGATATGTTGAACAAAACGATATACATTCTCCTCAAGTTACAATTGAGGAGTCTTTGTGGTTTTCTGCATCTCTTCGTCTTCCCAAGGAAATCAGCATTGATAAAAGACGTGTAATTTGTTTTCATAATACATTGTATATCTGATTGTATTGAGTATTGAATTTTACAGACTCTAACTAGCTGAAATATTTTACAGGAATTTGTTGAACAAGTAATGAAACTAGTTGAGCTTGATTCTTTGAGACATGCTTTGGTTGGTATGCCAGGTAATTCAGGCTTATCAACAGAGCAGAGAAAGAGATTAACAATTGCAGTGGAGCTTGTAGCAAACCCTTCTATTATTTTTATGGACGAGCCTACATCTGGACTTGATGCACGTGCAGCAGCTATTGTTATGCGAACTGTTCGCAACACAGTTGATACTGGAAGGACAGTGGTTTGCACCATACATCAACCAAGTATTGATATTTTTGAAGCATTTGATGAAGTAAGTTCAATCATGTCTTCTGTCAGTTTACTGTTTTGATATCTAATGGTGAACTTATTTCTGTCAACGAGTCTAAGCATCCGCTTTTGCTGCCCAGTTACTTCTTATGAAACGTGGGGGACAAGTTATTTATGGAGGAAAGATTGGTGCACATTCACGGATATTGATAGACTATTTTCAGGTGATGACCTTAGAATTTATTACTGTTATTATTAGTACTACTACTATTGCAATTATTGTTCCCACTGTCATCAGTGATTTTTACTCATTGATCGTTATTACACAATCTTTTCTTTAGCAAACAATGAAAATGACACCATTCAGTGCTACATGCTGCGAATAATTTACTCCTTAGACTTTGTTTGCGAGTTTTGAGGGAAGAGAATGTGAGCTTTGGAGGAAGGGGAGTAGAGGGAAATAAAAAAGAAAATTTACACATTTTTTTTGAAAGAGTGCTTTTGTAGAGTGGGAAAAGAATGTTAACCATTAATATATTTTTAATTTTAAGAGTATTATAATAATATAGATTGAATTTGAAGAATTTATCAAACCATCAAAAACTCTCGAAAATTCTCTTTCTATACAATATTTGAGTTCCCCCATTTTAAGGGGACTTTGTAGTATAAAGAAAAGCAAACTCCCAAAGCCCTCCACTCCCAAAACCCTTCACTCTTTCCACTTCTCCTTCCTTTATTTCAAAATGCTCCCTTTCCCTCCCCTCCTAAACTCTCAAACAAAGCGTTAGTGTCTCTCCTAAATCAAAATGGATCGTCTCCTGTTTTCTCTCTTCAGCTTTCAATGCTGCCCCAAATTTAATGGTCAATATGAAATAATGAAATAATAATGTAGCAGATATATAGATATAAAACATGATCTAAAGGATAAAATTAGTGCTGAATAGAAGCAGCAGAGTAAAAGTTGCAGACAATCCAGATCCCTCCTAAATGTATTTCTTGCGCACACAACTTGTCTGTTGTCTACACAACTGCATGAAAACATTCAATTTTTCTTTATATCTAATTTTATTCTCCGACTTCTTTCTAGTTTGTGAAATATTAGGCTTGAATAATGATTATCCTTTTCTAGAAGTTAGATATTTATAACCTAGTTCAATTTTTACTTTAGTCCTAAGTTTAAAGATTTGAAGATTCTCAAAACTTTAAGCTTTTACTTAAAGGAGCTGATCATAAAAAGACAAATGGGGTTCCCAAATGAGGTAATGGACCAGGATCCAATGGCGTACTCCGGTGTGTAGTTTTGTGTCATGGTGCTCCAGTCTAGTAGCGGAGGTACCTGCAAACACTCCAACGCCAAGTAGATGTCGGTCGAAGGTGAGAGGTATTTTGGATTAGAATAGTGCGTACCTAAATATGAGGCCTTTATTAGGCATTGTATCTGTCTTAGGAGACAGGTGTCCTTGGAACTTGATTTACTTTGATCTGGCGGTCCTCATTGCTTTGTGGAGCATTGGGCTATTTGCCACCTGGATTGATCCCTTTTTGAGCCTTTCTGGAAAAAGCATCGGCTTAGACCGGAACAGGAGCCATGAGCAGAGTAGTTCAGACTATACATAGTGGGATTAGGTCCATAAAACATGATTCGGGAGTTGTGTGGAAAAGGAGAAAATACTTACGACTGAACAAAGAGTGAGAAAGGGAATAGAAAGAGAATCAAGATACTGATGAATGACGTAGGAGTCATCGTTTATCAAAGAAAACATTCTTTTATAGTCTAGATTTATATTCTCATCTTCTATTTGTTTTTTCTAACAAGTATGACCCAGAAATGCCTCTGCTTCATTGTCTTTCTGTTTTTTGTTTTTTTGGATTTCTTTTTCTGAAACAAATGTCAGAATACATGTGCGAGTTCCTGAGTTTATATTTCTTGTTGTTTTCCTATCTGCTTGGCAGGGAATCGGCGGTATCCCCCCTATTCCAAGTGGCTACAATCCAGCTACCTGGGTGCTTGAGGTCACTACACCTGCTGTTGAAGAGAAAATTGATTCAGATTTTGCAGCAATTTACAAGAATTCAGCGCAATTCAGGTGTTTCTAATTTGATGTTTATTAGCTGCTACTGCCAAAGTCTTTTTGTTCTTGTTTTTTAGTTAATGTTGGAGTGATATGATATGAATATAGAAAAAACTAATAATCCAAGATGATACAGCCATTAAGCTATAGGTGGTAGAATAGAAATATTGTTTTTCAGATAAATTGCTAAACTGCTTAGTCAATGTTTTTATCAGAGGGGTGGAGGCTTCTATTTTGGAATTTGAGCATCCTCCTGCTGGATCCGAACCACTGAAGTTTGACACAATGTATTCACAAAATTCGTTGTCCCAATTTTTTCTGTGCTTATGGAAACAAAATCTTGTGTACTGGAGAACCCCAGCGTATAATGCTATGAGGCTATACTTCACCACAATCAGTGCTTTGATATTTGGTAGTGTATTTTGGGATGTTGGTTCAAAAAGGTAATATTTCATTGTTTTCATTTATTGTAAACTAGTTATTTCATGAATGTAACTTTAAATCAAATAAGAAAGGGTAACAGGCTTTATTCAGTTCGACTGACTTAGTAACTATCAATAATATTATATAGAGCAACAACTCAAGAGCTGTTTGTGCTTATGGGCGCTCTTTACTCTGCGTGCTTGTTTCTTGGGGTAAACAATGCTTCGTCTGTACAGCCGATTGTTTCAATAGAAAGGACAGTATTTTATAGAGAGAAAGCAGCAGGAATGTACTCTCCATTGCCATATGCAGCAGCCCAGGTAGGTCTCATCACAATACTGAAAATTATTACATGGCTAATTTTTCAATTTAATTATTTACTTATAAGGATTGTTTAATCTGACATTCAGGGACTTATAGAGATCCCATACATTGCTGTTCAGACATTGGTGTTTGGCTTGATAACATATTTTATGGTCAACTTTGAGAAGACACCGGGTAACATATCAACTTTCCATATATATTCATATATTGGTTGTTCTATATATGGTTGGATTCCAATTTTAATGTATAATTGTATTTATTGCAGGGAAGTTTTTTCTCTACCTATTGTTCATGTTCCTAACCTTTACTTACTTCACCTTTTACGGAATGATGGCGGTTGGTTTTACAGCTTCACAACAGTTAGCTGCTGTTATTTCTTCAGCTTTTTACTCCCTGTGGAATCTTCTTTCCGGTTTTCTTATCCCAAAAGCGGTGAGTAATGTTATACTTAGAAATTTTTGAACCAAAAGTCACTTTTCTATCGGCTTCTAAAAACTAATAATGTGACTATGATTATGGTTGTCTCAGAGTATTCCGGGGTGGTGGATTTGGTTCTATTATATCTGCCCCGTTCAATGGACGTTACGCGGTATTATAACATCTCAGCTTGGTGATGTGGAAACAACAATTGTGGGACCAGGATTCAAAGGCACTGTGAAAGAGTATATATCTGCAACTCTTGGATACGATCAGAAAATCAATGGAATATCGTCTGTGGGTCTTTCAGTGACAGTCCTTCTTGCATTTAATGTCCTATTCTTTGGTAGTTTTGCTACATCTGTTAAGGTTTTTAATTTCCAGAAGAGATAAAAAAATTCACATTGTTAGGTTTTCACATCATAGTAGTAGTAGATGATTTATGCATTGGATAAGATTTTGTATGCCACACAATTCATGAGGAAGGTGCTCCATAGAATTGTCATTGTACCAGGTGGTCTGCTTATTGTAGATGACCGAGACCCAGCTGTTTATGTTTTGTTTTTGGGTCCGGCCGATTACAAAAGCCGAAGAGAATTCTTTTTGATATTTCATATCTTATTAGTGGAAACTAATATAGATCCCACCACTTTGTAAATGAAATCTGCAGTAAAATAACTTCAGTTTCTACGAGAGACGTGATTATCAAACACCTTTTTTTTATTCTACAAACTTATCTGTATAAAGAAGTGAACAAAAACTATAAGAAAGATTCATCACCACAATTTTCATCTTTTATTGAAACTCTTATTTAATTTAACATCCGACACAATAGAAAATACTTGTAATGTTAAACACTGGAACATGAAAATGGGGTATACATGAAATAAGTCCATGGATAATGTAAGTACATATAGAGCAATAACCAAAATGATATTGTTAAGTCTTATTATCGAGAAAGAGCGCAAGCATTGAAATATCTACTTCGGACATATGATTGATTTCACAGCCTCATGTCACTAGCAGAAATCCCACTTGGTATTTGGAGTGAAGAATTTCATTCGTTTGTAGGGTCAGGTTGTTTTAATCACCCTGGGAAACCAAGTTATTCAATCGGGGATGGCTTCACAGGGTGGTCTGCTCCGAAATCGATCATGCCATATTGGTCTGTAACAAATAAAAAGTTGAATGTTTAATCAAGCACATCTTTTTTCTATAACTCTGATTTACTATTTGTGATACAACAGCAAAATTTGAGATTAATTAAAATATATGAACAAATTAAAGTTTTACTATTTGTGATAACAAACTAGCTATACTTACTGATATCTGGAGCTTTGAGAACAAAAAAACATGCAGAAATAATAACGTAACAGAAAGTAAGAATGACTCCTTTCATGTAGTGTGAAGTTCCATCCTACAGAAGATTCAATAAAATCACATTATTAGTAACTTAAAAATAAAATAAATAATAATAATAATAATGATAATGTAATAATAATAATAATGATAATGATAATGTAATAATAATAATAATGATAATGATAATAATGATAATAATAATAATAATAAAGGCATTGTGCAGACCTGCAAAGTGAAGGCTGTAACAATAATTGCGAAACCAAGACATCCAGTTTCAAGAAGATTGAAGTCTAGATCCATTCGTATACCCATTATCCACGCAACAATCACACTAAATGGAACCTGAAATTGATTATTGGATATCCAGGTTTCTCGGTGTTAAGCCATCATTGAAAAAAAAAAACTGTTTAACAAAATATTTATCAGACTTACCACAAACATAGAAATTTGAGTAGCAGATCCCATAGCAACACCTAATGATATATCCTGCAAGATAATAAACTCAAGCTTATTGTACTAGTAAAGAAATTGCAATGTCTAATATAAATATTATGTTTATGGTTTATCCTGCAAGATAATAAACTCAAGCTTATTGTACTAGTAAAGAAATTGCAATGTCTAATATAAATATTATGTTTATTAAAACCATACCAACTTGTTCTTGAAAGCAAATATGACTGATCCAGCATGTTCCGCCGCGTTACCAACAATTGGTAGCAAAATTATGCTAATAAAGCTCACAGAAATTCCCCAAGAATCTGAAGCAGCCTAGTTATTATGCGTAAAAGTATAGACAATTAACCCATCAAATCTAATTATGTATTTAGTTCAAATGACCTAAATCATCAAAAAGTACCTCAATGGTTCCCACAACATACTCCGAAAGCACAGATATGACCAATGTCATACCTACCAACCAACTGAATGCACTCCAAAATCCAATCACTGCTTTTTCTTCATCCTCCTCATCTTCCACCTGAAAATCGAACCTCACACCTAATTCAAGTGGCTACGGCTAAAATGAAGCGTATATAAGTTAACTAAATTGTGCTAATTAGTATTAATCACCTCTTGTGCATCAAATATTTTTCGATGAGTTTTCAATTGGAAGAAGATATATGCAACATATGCAATAAGCATGACAATGCTACTCGCTCTCGACAATTGAAGAGTACAATTGGCGATAGAATGATTTCCTCCCGCCAATGCGTATTTGAAAATTAACGGCAGCAAATGGCATAGAAATCCCAACAACAAAAGCAATGAGTTCACATCCGCTTGTTTCTGTTCATTTAATAATTAAACAACATATAAATTGATTAGTAGCATGAATGCACAATGCTACGAAGCACGGACATCAGAGACACAACATCAACAGAACTTACTCTGTCATATCTTTGTTCCCTTTTGAGATTTGCTAAGCCACCACAAAGGAGTGAGCTTCCTAGGACCAAAAGAAGGTTTGAGAGAATGGAACCAAGCAAGGAGAACTTGACAACATGGATTTTGTTCTGATGAAGTGCTAATATTGCTATGATCATCTCAGTTGCATTGCCACAAGTTGCATTTAGAAGTCCTCCAACTGAAACATTCACACAAATTGGTTTACTTAAAGTAATTTATGTTAATCTATTCAAATGTTTATCAGCTATCGATCATGTCATCATCATGTATACAACTTTGTAGTGTTTATTATATCCGTAAAAGAGTTAAAACATACCTGTTGGGCCAGTGAAATATGCAATTTGCCTTGAAGTTTATGCAGTCCAGATAAAGATATTCAGTAAAAAATAAAATAGAAAATATTAGAAAACATGAAATTTGAATGATAATAATAATAAACCATTTTATATAATGTGAAATGCAAACTTACTCAGTGAGGAAGCTGACACGTTCAGCCAGGGGAGCAAGTCCAAGTAGGCTCAAAGCAAAAATCCAAGGCTATATATATCACAGAAAAGCAATTATATTATTTGCCAAAAAGTAATATTATATCATATTTCTTACATATATAAGATAAGGAACTATAATTGTTTTTCCAAATGTAAAATGAAATATAAATAATGATAAATCTCTTTCTTTTTCTTTTAAGAGAGGACCACGTTTTATAAATCAAAATTCTCGATTTTACGGCAAAATTTATGTTTGTGAGTTAGTTATAAACGCGATTAAAATTTCTGATTTTAGTGTAAGATTTAAATTCGTGACTGAAGTATGATTTATGTTATTTAATTTGATTTTTCCTATTTTACATGAATGTTAAACATTTTTACGATTTCTTCTCGTCAATATTTTTAAAATATATATTTTGTCTTCATGATTATACAATTATACAATTTGGATATATAAAAAACAATCTCTTTTATAATTTTGAATCGGGTAATTTGGATAATATATTTTCGAAAAACACCAAGATGATTTATATATATATATATATATATATATATATATATATATATATATATATATATATATATATATATATATATATATATATATATATATATATATATATATATATATATATATATATATATATATATATATATATATATATATATATATATATATATATATATATATATATATATATATATATATATATATATATATATATATGTGTGTGTGTGTAAAAAGAAGAAAATACTAGGATGATATATTATAAAAACTTCTTTTTTATTATAAAATATGAAATAAAAAAAATACATATTTTGTATCATTCCCAAATATTTTTCACACAACTCATTTTAAACCGCGTTTTTTTAAAGTGTGTCATACTAGTTAACAAATAAAATTGTGACATTGTTGATTTGAAGAAAAAAAAACAATATTTCATAAAAGTAAACTTACATTTGAAGAGTAAAACTGAAAGGAAAAATGTTGTAATAAAGTTTTTTATTCAAATTATCATAAGAATTTATTTGATAATGTTTTACAGAAAGGATCTCTATCATAATCATAATCATGACAATTAAAATAGGATTAGATCAGGCGATTTAATCAGAAACCAAAATTTTAATCGGTCTATTTAGATTTAAAAATCGGCATGCAGAAGAACTAGAATTTAAACTGAAAAATCGGTCAAAAATCGGTTAGAAATAAAAAAATCAACAATTTAGATGATTTTTAAAATCTGATATAATTTTATTTTTGATTTATAAAAATATGATAAAAAAAATTTTATTTTGAATCAAAATAATACATTATTTAATATTCATTTTCTTTCTCCAATCACTGTGATACACATTATCGTAGAACAATTAAAATAAAATTGTTTTAAATTCTTTTATTATTCTCTATTTATTTAATGAATGAAATTGAATTTTATATAATAAGATATAATAAATAAATACGATAAAATGAAATTCAACGCATAGAAAATGACCAGACAATATCGTGAATAAATAATTAATAAAGTTATTAAATTATTATTATTATTATTATTATTATTATTATTGTTATTATTATTATTATTAAAATAAAAGTTTTAAATTTATCTATCTAATCTATTAAAAATATAAAAGGCTATAAAATATTTAAAAAACTAATAAATATTAATTATTAAGAAATTATTAATAAATCGTTTTATTATTTAAGAAATATAATTATTTTTGTGCATTATTATTCTTATATATAATAAAAAATATTTATTTATATATAATTGATTCAACCCGGATTAAATCTCGACCAAACCTTAAAATCGTAAACTTATAAATACACCGGTTTGAATTCGCTTCAATTTTAATTACTTTAATATAATGTATTTCGAGAACTCTTTTGATAGTAAATTTTAACATTTAAATTTATAGAGGGATTTGTATAGCTTAACTTCCAATCTTAAGTCTTGATTTTTTTTTAACCATACATATAATTTTGCAAAATGTATAACTTGATCCATAATATATTTCAAAGCTCAAAACTCAAAACAAAGAACAACTAAAGATTGAATTGAATTCTCATGTAATTATCGCATAACATTTGCTCAAATTTTCATAGATTATGAATTAATAGTGCTAAGTACTTACCCTTCCAATGCTATAAAAATCAGCAGCAACAGCCAAAGGAACCGCCGGAAAAAGCACAACAAGCTTAGTACCCAACATCACCTCTCTCACATTTCCCATCACATTTCTAACTATCTGAAACCGATCATTATTCGTCACCAAAGCTATATCCGATTTCTTTCTCACAATCGAATTCGATGAAATGTTCTCTACTGAATCAACCTTATTCTCCAAATCTTCATTCACATTCATGCTAGGAAATATCGGTCGCGAATTAGTCTCAGAGAAAAAACTCATTGTATCAAAACTAATTAAGACTTGTAAAGGTGAAGAATATTTATAATAGTGTAATGAGATTACTAAACATTTGAGATAAAAGGAAACTCGTTGAGATGGAACTAGAATGAGGTTGTGAAAAAAATTGGGTGGTTGCATTGTATACATTACCATTGTGCTATTGTGGCAATTTCCAAATCTAGTACCATGAAGCTTCGTGGAATTTTCCAAACTCATGTTTACATAACCCACGTACATATTTTTATTGTTTTGGATGGATATATTGTTGGGTGAATATTTGGAATAGGTGAACTATAAATTTTGCATGCTTGAGCTCATACGAATTAGTTTCTATGAGGTATAGATGATAAAACATGAATCTTCCTATACGTTGTACATAATATGTTCGCTATAGTTTTTACTTTTTGGGTGGTTTGTTTCATTGTTTGTCATTTTCATCTTCCATTTTCGTGTTTATAAGTATATATAAATATAAAGGTAATGATTGGTTGAAATTAAATAAAGATAAATAGTTTTAAATTGTCTAATTATAATGAATAAGATAATATTAGAATCCACTAAATTTTACAAATAATATTGGTATTTAAATAATACTAGAACATTGGTAATAAAATTCTTTGAATTTAGTATTTGTACTTCGATAGAGAATGTTAATATATGTTTCTTAGAGATATTTAATTATAGGTTAGAGATGAAGTTTCCTCTCTACGATGTTTACATTTGCTTTTTATAAACAAGAGATTATTTTAAAGCGAGCATAAGGGATATTCAACTCAAATACAAAAAAAAAAAGGATTGAATTATATCAACACATCTAACACATTAGCCATCCAAGTAACTTTAGACGAATTAAACTGACCAAAAGATCTCACACAAAGTCAATCCCAAACTAAAGATAGCCCGCACGCACAGATAGTCAAATAAGAATTCTACAATTACTTTTCCTAACCCTTCTCCTTAAAACAGACTCAAACAACAGAAAATGATCAAGAATATCAGAATAAGTACTAAAAACATTTCTACCTACCCAGTCCAAAACAGAAATCCAAACCTCAGCAGCAACGCTACAAGAAATGAACCGATGAAAGTGAGTCTCTTCTGGTCTGAGGTATAACGGACAAACAAGATTATGCACGTCTGAGATGACTTCTCTCTTAGCAAGCCCATCCCTTGTTTGAAGCCTATGATAAAGTAACCTCCACGGAAACAATTGAACATTAGAGGGTGCCTTTAATTTCCAAATAAACTTCAAAGCATCCAACAATCTTGTGTTGAATTCCGTATTCTGACCCAGGCCTACATATAACCTATCAAAAGTTTACTATACCAAAAAACATGATGTAGAAAACCACTAAATAAATTGATTCGAATGGGTTGGAATAGGAACTATGTGATGTAGAATAGAGTGCATATTGACGCACTCTACAACCTCCAAAGCAGGCAAACTGTTGTGATTTTTGCCAAAAGACCAAGCCTACAAATTTTGAACCAAAAAACCAGCATAAAAAATTATCACCTTCGATTCCTGCAGGGCCTTAAATAACAAGGGAAATTGCTTGCACAATGGCTCCTTATCAATCCGACAATCCCCCCAAAAATCAATATCAACACTATACCCGACTTTGCACGAAAGGCTCATACGAAACCAGTTGGTTTCAGCTTACCAAGCACCTAACAAGATACGTAAATACCTCCACCAAAATGAATGGTTTTGAATTAACACAAGACAAAGGATTATCTCGAATCACAATCTTGATATCTCCATACTTGAAAGAAAGAACTTTGTGCCATAAGGAGTCCTTCTCAACCAAAATCCTCCAACCTTATTTGCTCATCAAAGCTCTATTAAATAAATCACAATGCTTCACACCAAGACCACCTTTCACATTTGACATATAAATAGTCTACCAAGCCACCCAATTGATCCTTCTAAACTTTTCTTTTACCATTCCATAAAATTAATCCTTGGATGTATATAAGCTCTTGAATTACTAGTTTAGGCGTTTTGTAAAATGAGAAGGTAAAAAGGGTATTGCGTTTAAAACCGAATTGAGCAAAGTTACTCTCCCACCTAGAGTTAGATTTTTCCCTTTCCAAGACACCAATCTACTCCTCACATTAGCTAAAACCAAAGACCATGAGGATCACGTCCTTACATTACAACCAATTTGAATCCCAAGAAACTAAAAAGTTGAAGATCTCACAATTCAAATAATCAAAAGTTGCCTTCAAGAAATTAGTCTCAACATTAATCCTAATTAGTCTACTCTTGCTGAAATTAACGGATAAACCTAAACAAAGCTCAAAACCACGGAGCAATGCTGTAATAGTTCCTAAATTCTCCCAAGAAGGCAGTCCCACGAGTATGGTATCATTAGAAAATTGAAGAAGTTCAACATGAAAGTTCTCTCCCAAAGCAAAAAGATGATAGGGCCGGATTGCTAACACGTCCCATAAAAGACCCATCATTCCCTCTGTTGTAAGAATGAAAAGAAATGGAGAGATAGGATCCCCTTGACGAAGACCCCTTCTATCTTGGAAATTGATAGCATGACTACCGTTGATCATCACTGAGAAAGAAGAGGAACAAAAAAAAGCCTTGATCCACTTTAACCATTTGGAACCAAAATTCATTCTTTTCAGGACATAAAGAAGATAATCTCAAGAAACTGAATTAAAAGCCTTTTTGAATTCTACTTTAAAAAGAAATAACCCATTCTTATTTCACTTTGCATAGTTGATCATGACACTTTGTTATTACATATATTTCATCGAGAAATCAGAGCAAAATCAGTCAAATATGAGCAAATATGAAGCATAAAAGCCAAAAAAAAAGCAAAAATCATTAAGTATGAAGAAATATGGACTTGGTGAAAATTGGAGCAAAGTGCAAAAGTTACGGGAATGATCACGCAGTGTATCGCACAACATCACGTGCGTGACTAATCATTGCACATGGCATCACGCGCATGTTTACCCTGAATTTTGGTAAACAACCGCTGATCTTCCAAATCATCTCACGGATCCAGTTACTTGCGAGATCGATTAGATTAATCTCAGGTCACAAGTGTCTTTATTAATCTTTTAACTTGATTGTTGTATTTAACATGTTTTGTATATGAAGACAAATGGCTTCAAATGTCGAATTAAAATGCATATAAAGTGAAAGTAAAATTCCTTCTAAACTTGAAATGGTAAAAGACTTAAGTGAATGTTACTGGAAATTCTGCAGAAAATAAATGCATTTATATTAAATGGGTGTATCATACGTACATCTTCAATAAACTCATTTCTCTTTAACACTTGGTACTTTGAGTAATTTTTGAGTAACTTGTACAAAGATGTTCACCCCTACTCTAATCGAAATACTAAGGCCAGTATTTATACTACTTCGACCCTAACGGTCTTCTACACGAATTAATGCCACGTTTCTGTTTGCATGTCTTCGACGAATTCAGAGCCTTCCACGTGTCCTTTCGGATAAGATTAAAATATTTGAATTCGAATCTTCTTCTTATCGTGAGTGCCAATCACTGAAGACGGTCGAAAAATGTTTGAAACCTTAGCCACATTTCGAATAACAATCTTTATTCAATAATTCGAAATGGTAAACCTTTCCAACGAATTTTACTCAATTCGAATCTCAACCTTTATGGCTTCACATAAATAAAGTAGTGGAATATTCTGAAGTATATTCGAGTTTAACTTAAAAACCTTTAGTCGAAATTTCCAGCTAACAAGTTGCCCCCAAGAAATATTCATTTCGAAACAAGAAATGCATATTTTTTGCAACCTCTTCAAAATTTCGACTCCCTGAACATGCTGTCAATCTTTCAACTACTCTGACGCCATCTTCATGATGATCTTTAATCTTAAAATGTCAAATCACAACATGGGTATCTATAAATTCCATCATTAGCTACAATGACTAGTTCCTGTCTTGGAACTCACAAAACTGTCCATCATCACGCAGGATCATGCTACACGTGTCCCACTAACCTGAGAAATTTAATTTCTCTTTCATCAAAACGGTTCACTTTCTTCCATATAAGTAATATTTTTAATCTCTTTTTCCTTTTTTAATCTCATTCAACCTTCAAGCTTCTTCTTTCTCAAATCTTCAGCAAACTTTCTTAACAAATTTCTTTTCTTGTCTGCATCAATGGCATCTCAAAGAAAAACTAAATATGAAAAGGGTAAACGAAACAAAGACAATGTTGCCTCTCAACCTCTTCTTCAAATATCAGCACCATTAATGATTGGGAACCAGGAATTCGTTCCAACACCATCTTTGAAGAATGAACAGATAGCCATATATTCTTCACAAGTATTAATTCCTTTTACTCTTGCCTCTAAAACATTAGGGTTTATGGGTCCAGTCCTTGATATAGAGAAATTACCTAAACTAAAAAAGTTTTTTCCAACTCACCATTCCACCAAACCCATTGCTAGCAAGACTAATATAGTCATAAAAACTAAGGCAGGTGATGAACAGGATGTTCAAAAGAACCTTCCCCTGGAAGAAAAAGAACTAATAAGAATTCCTTTAAATTTAGACTTTGTTATTGAAGTATCACGCCCCTTTAGATCAGGTCCGTTGAAAGACGGCCAAAAGTATTTAGGTTGGTTAGATAGGGTAGAAAAATTAAAGCTAACTATCTGGAAGGAATTAGGGATTTTCGACTTGATTCATCTGTTAAAGTATGGTCCTAAATATTGTCAATTGATGTTGACAACTTCGTTGTACTCCTGGGACAATACTTTTAACACGTTCCACCTTCCTTGTGGTATGGTTACCCCAACCCTTTTCGACGTTGCTGCCATCATTGGGCTTCGACCCACTGGAGAGACTTTCAATCCAATAATCGATAGTGAGGATACCATTGATTTCAAAAAAACTTCTCCCACATATAACAATTATATGGATCATTACATAGGAACCACATATGAAGTCAATGATCAAGAGCACATTGCTTTCCTTGTGTTGTGGCTCTCAAGGT